TACCATTCTCATTACTTGTTGACTACCCTATGTACATCTAAGTTATAAAAAAAATAATGTCTTACATATTGAATAACATGTAAAAGCCATTCGAATCTTTCAATTAGAAGATATTTGAGTTGTACAGTCATTGAAATGAGATGAGCAAGTACTTTTGCACGTATTTCATTTTCATCTGTTGTCATCATCGAACTGTCTAAAATAAATTTACATTTTATGCTATAATCATAAAAGATCTGGCAAATCGAACTGTTGCTCATAACAACTATTCAAATTCAAGCAAATATCGAGAAAAAAATGGTTGACATTGATTTAAATTCGAACAGAAAGTCTTACACTTTCTTTATTGATGATGAACTTAATCTTTAAGAGTAAACGTTTAGCGGTGTTCTCTTTTAAATAAAAAATGGCTTAGATTGAACTTAGTCCGTAGTGAAATTAGATATATATTTATAAAGAAATCGAATTATGAATTATCCAGTTTATAGTACAATAAAAATTCATTTCATAATGATCATCAAAAGTGAAATAACTTTAGATAAAGTTTGAAACTAAAACACTTCGACAATATTTATTCAAGCTATAAATGATTAGCACAAAAAGAAGAACAAAAATGAATACTAACAATTTTTTCGATGAAAATCCGTTCCAAATTGAATTTTTGTAACATTTCGAAAAGGAATATCAATTCTCTTGCTTTGCCTCATTTTGGATAAAATTTCCAATGACATTACAAGATCAGATTTATCAAAATCTTTGTTATATGCTAAAAAAGAAACAAAAAAAAATTTCTATTTACTTTAAATATTATTTAACTATTTTTCTATTAGACTAAGTTCAATACAAGAGAAATATAAATATCCATAAAAAATATCTATCCTCATATAACTGTTTCGATCAAAATTTCTTCTTTCTCTTTTCGGTAAATTTGTTATCAAATTGTGTCAGTATACTCATAGTTGTTATCTCTTTACTCCATTAGTTATCAAAGGATTATCGAAATGACAAATTAATTTACTTTTATATACGTTGATATAGGAAACATTAGGAGATAATTCATTAAATTGTTCCAAAAATAAATACAGTGATGGATATGAATTATAGCATATGTCGCCAAAACGTAATAAATTGAAAATATATGAATAATTACTAAAAGAAAAAGAAATGTCATTTAACGAAGAAGTTCTTCAAGTTCTTTTTTTTTAATAACTAATAACTGACATTCGATTATCAGAAGATTGAAATGTATTAATAAAAGAAGAGAAAAGATGTTGACATGATATTATTGAATCATATAAACATTTAATATTTGTCCATTGATGTGAAATAAAAAAAGAATAAATTTTAAATGAATTAATTATTTTTTCTATATCATCATATGATAATTGACATTGTGAACAAATATAAAAATTGAAATCAATTAAATTAGGTATTCTATCAGGTAAACAATATTGACGAATGAAATTTGCATCAATCAAACATTTCCATATATTTTGACATTTTCTATCGTCTAATTTAACACTTTTAATATAAATTTGAAGTTTTTTAACAAAATTTAAATTATTAAGAAGCCATTTCAAATAAATAAATTCCAAATCATCATCAATAAAAGTTTTTAAACTAAAACATTGTAGTTTTGGTATCTAAAGCAATAGGGTTCATTTTTTTTTTGTTTAATTGAGAAATCTATAAAATGGAAAACTAACGATTAATTTCTTACTTTATTGAACCAAGTTTCATTTGATTGTTTCAATGCTTCTATGTTTGATTTCCATAATCTATCAAATTTTAATGAACCATCGAGTTTCACCGATATTTGTTCGAGATTGGGGACATATTCAATGAGACTTTCAAGAAAAAGTGCATGATTAAGTCGAATATGTAAACGACGAAGAGTTATATTACACGATTGAATTAAATTCGGAGAGAGATCAGAATTTGATGATAAACATCGATGAATAAAACCACAACGAAATTCGTTACTAATATCAAGTCGAAGAGATTTTAATTGGCATTGAGCAGAAAATAATCGACAAACGAGTTCTTTGATCATGTTCAGTTGATTTTCTATCATTCAAAGCAAAAGTGTTCTTTTCGTATGAAAAATTCTTTATCATTTAAAGTTTAATTATGTAAAATATCAAATATTGAAAAAATATTAAAATAAAAATTTATACTGAATGATGATAACAGTTGGTTGACTTTTTAATAAATAAATGACTAGAATATGTTTAAGATAATTATTAGATAGAATTGAAAATGAATCGATACTAGTTTTATTTTTCATAGAAAGAAAAACAATAAATTATTCAATTGGATGTTACTATTTATCATATTGTCTCATGATGTGATAAATCAATTTCTAAGCTAACACTTAATTTATTGGATAGAACGTATTGAGACATGAGAAAAGCTAGCTTAAATTCTGATCATATTTTCGTGTTCTACAACTAGATGACCATTTTACTAGATTTTCATTTATTAATAGTGATTAAAAATAATTGTTACATATAAATTTCAATGTAAATGTTTTCTCGAAAACTGATCTTCAAGAATGAGATAATCTTATCTTCTATTATAAAGTCTTTCAAATAAATGATTGTTTACCTTTATAGGATACCTTTGACAAACATTTTCTTAGAAAAAACAATCGTGTGAATATATCGTCATCAAATGTTAATGTAAGTTCATCTAATTGATATTTAATAAGATAAACTAAACTCTGAATAACTGGTTCAATTGATCCACATCGAGTAAGAATAAGTGATTTAAGATGAGGAAAATGAAGAATATTTTTATTATTAAATAACAATTGATAACAAAGATCAGAAGACATTGAATTTATTCCATCAAAATGAATACGTTGAATAGAAGAAGAAAGAGATGATGAATTTCAAATCAATGGAAATAATATTGAACAACATTTATTATAAGATAAACCATGTGCTATAACAAGGCCGTTGTTCAACCGATTGTCATTTATCGAAACAGTTAAACATATAAGAGAATTGAAGCGAGCATTTAATGACCATAAAGATGTTAACATATTGTCCCATGTTAGACAAGACAAAATATGAAGAAGAATTTCATTAGGTAGTATTTCGATTTTACTAATCATGTTATCTAAAAAGAAATTTTTCATCGTCAATAGGTGTGTTAGATAAGAAAGTTAGTCTAGGTTAACTTTTTTCGATGTTGACCAAACATAATGCTATCTCGAACTTCACGGTTTTTCTTCTGTCTAGCGTTCACTTTTGTCCAAAATACTTCATATTTAGAAAAAATGGTCTCTAACTTTGAATTTAAACTTAGTAAATTTTTCTAGAACGCCTTAAAATTTGAAACTAATTTCAAATCGAAATAACTGAACATCTCTCATAAACAGCATTGAATAGAAAATAAAACTGTCAATTAATAAGTCTTTATCGTTCAAAGTCTGCTATGTCAGTATTCATTTTAAACTTATCTAAATGATAGAAAAACTCTTTATGCACTTTATCTTTTATATAATGAGATAAAGTTATAATGTTCATTCCGTAATCAAAATAGAATTTAATACTGCTAAAGATCTCTCGATAGAAGCATGGTCAATATATATAAATCTACTATAAAAACTTGATTCTTTACCAAAACAATGTGAAGCCAAAAATTTATAGAACAACAAATGTGTCTATAAAAGACTGTTTTGTGAAGAGAATCTTCTAGTGAATATATGATTTGTTATAAAGATCTTTATTTTAGTTTCTATCGAGTGATAGACAATATTCAATGAATATTTAACAACGCCAACTTATATATTTCAAATCAATGTGTATTTGAATATTAGTTGTATGTTCATAGAATAAGATAACAGCTTAGAAATTCACTCCTAAGTCTAATGATAATATTAGTTAAGAGACAAAAGGTGAAAGTTTTCTTTTCTGTTATGAACAATATTTTTCTAGTTCGAGTAAGATTATTGTTTATGGTCATGAAGATGAAATAATTCGAAATCTAAAAAAGAATACAAGCGATAGAAGATTAATTTATTTCTAAAGTATCAATATATAAAACAGAAAACATTATCTGATTATATTTAAGTGCATAATTCTTATATCTCAATTAAAAAACTACATACCGATATTGTGTCATGATAATTTATGTCATCTGAAAGTGCAGTACCTTCGTGATTGTTCATTAATATATGCCAGAAAGAAAAAAAAATCGTTTCTCTCTCATACGAGCTAAACGAATTTGAGAAAAAAAAAATTCTAGTTCATCAATACACAGACATATTGAACGGATGACTGTTGTTAGCTCTCGTTTTGGGGATTATGTAGCAATGGTAGAACTAATATTTAGTCTGCCAAAAATGGAGAGCTAAACATGTTTTAATAATCGACTTTGTCGTCGTGTCATATATAGAATATATTGAGTATCGAGAGATCGATACGATAGAACATCAACAACTGCGCAATAACGAAAGACAAAAGGATAATCACGAGATGAATCATAGTTGAGAGATTACGTAACAAATCAAATTAGAGATTCAAAAAATAGATAACATAAGATAAACGTTTAGCGTCAGTAAGCACCATCTACTGACGCTAACAACTGTCTGATGTAATATAAAAAAATCGCTATTTTCTTTATCTTGTTCTTGTTGACGACGGAATGAGTGATATTTCAATATCGGACGTACGGAAAAGAGAGAAAATAAATGTATGTTGAATTTAGGAAAAATAAGCGTTTGCTCAGTTCTTTTGGTTTTATATAATTCGATGCAATTGAATATAATAATTCAAAATTGAAAAACAAAAAAACACATCGGTTTTATGTGTTAATTTAAATGGAGCTATAAAAAATACCTAGAAAACTATGATTTCTGTAGAACAGTTGATATTCTTATAAAGTTTTTATAATCAACTCTGTTCATTAAATATTTTTATTATATTTGTTCTAAATAATAAAAGAGTACGTTGATTACTTTTTATTTTTTCAAAATTTCGTATCTAGTAATTATTAATTTAACATTTTTTGCCATTCATCAAAGTACTTTTTCAGATTGTTCATGAAGATTTCGAACAAAAAACAACTTCATTTTTATTACTATTTTAGTATCTGGTCTTTTTAATATCTTGTTAAGCATTGCAAATATGAAACATTGCCGTTATACCTTACTAATTAGATAAAGAATAATCACAATTACATTGAAATTTCTCAATTCGTATTCACTTATATCACTTTCTCGAAAACTGTTTACAATAAAACCGAAATAATCTTTTTGAGCTAAATCATTAGGTGGTAGTGAGATTTAAAAAATTTCTTTGAATCAATCGCGAATACATCAGTAATTGGTCAAATTTCTTGAATTTTTTTCAAGCAATATTAATATTAAATATTTATTTAAGTGATATGTATATTTTTTAAAATCGGTTCAATTGGAATAATGATTTCCTTTTTCATTGATTTTTTTTTTGTTCTGATTGTATATTCATATTTCGATTTTTAACTGCAGTAATTCTAAAGAAAATTTGTAGGAATTATAGATGCAGATTTTTTTTCTTTTAAAGTTTTTCACTGTTTACTGGAGATAGGAACTTATTATCTTCTCGTGATAATCCATCTGTAATTAACAATATTTGAATAACAAAACAAAAACACACATTCGAGATGAGAATTTCAATAATGATCACGTATGATCAATATATGTTAGTCAAATTATTCTAGACTTTATTATGTGAAAAGGATTAGAAAAAAAAAACTAAAAGAAATTGGAATTGATTCTTTTCTCTGTGATAAATACCATGCACTAGATTTATCAGTCCAATACGTGTACTCTCGACATGCAGTAACTGAGTGTATAGACTATAAGAGTCAATCTATGTTATTACGTATTTATGACACTGGAGGAGATGATTACCTTCTGAATATGTGTCAAACAACGAAACCATTCAACCGTAGTGCTTTTCTACTTTCTAGAAACTCTAGGTTTTCGAACAATTCGTCATTTTCGATTTCGACTTGAACCTTTGTGTACACAGAAAACTCGATTAGAAAAGTATCCATGAGAACAATGCAGAAATTTTGAAGAAAACCTCATCGAAATTTGAGTCATTCTAGGTATAGAGATCCTTTTTCATAGTTTTATGATTATTTTCTCATAGAAGAAGTGCAACAAGTTTTAATCTTCTATCAATCTAAAAGAATATAGTTTTTAAAAGTTTGAATTTTCATTGACGAAATCGACATATTAAAAACTCGATAGTTTCGTCATATCCTAATATGAAGCGCAATTCTTTTAGAATTTTTGTTAGAATTCTATCTAGTGACACTTACAAGACAAAAATATCATTGAAATTTAAATGGACTATCTAAGAAGGTTCCATCATGAACGATGCACAATATCAACTTTGCTCAGATGAGTTACCATATAATAACATCATTTGGTAACTATCGTTATTGATCTAATGTAGCTTTAATAGTTAAAGAGAAAAAAGAGTGAACAAAATTTCAAAATTACTTTGAAATATTGCGCTATCGCGTAAAAAAACGTAGGGAGTTCTCCGAGTTGATTATTTGTTTTAATAAGATATAGATTTTCAATATATTGATTATCATATATATATATCTTCATTTCTATCATTATTTTCTGTTGCAAGATAAATATTTTCTACTTTAACCATTTCAAAAATAGTTTACTAGAAAAGAAATAAATTTTGTTGTCAATTATCAAAATCTAAACCATGTTCTAATGTAATACGAATATATTAATTGATCAGGCAAGTTATTAATCCTTTTTTTGAATATAGTCTCACATCATCTTTACTTTCATTCAAATCTTTATAATCTTTTATATTGAATATCTATACTAATGAAACCACTTTCAATTTGTTTATTTCAAGTATGTTTTGTCAAATTTCAATTATTTGAAATACAAATTGAATCAATGAATCATTAATGGAGAAATCATTGGGTAAACAAAACTTCGTTAAGGCCCCCTCCCCCCTCAAAAATCGATCTCAGTCCAGGTACGTTCAAATGGGCTGAAATTTGGAGCATATGTTGGGGCTG